AAAGTCCCTGTCAGCTAGGGTTTAGCTGAAGCCTTGCAACTTGCTTTTTGTCTTCTCAAATGATGGAGCTGAGCCCAAGGGAACAAATGCCATTTTAATGGGCATCGTTGTGTAACTCATTACATAAGTCACTGCTGCCTTCAAAGGACTCGTGGCAAAAGTGGCAGGAGCAGTTGATTAAAAATGTGCACAATAGCTTCATTATGACATGGGGAGAGATGTCTGCTGTTATTTTTAATCTGATAGCTTTTAAATATGTGCATCCAGCAGAGACCCAAATGGCCTTTGAAAAAGGAGCCATTTGTGGAGTAAGATTTTTTGACTCCACTTCGTTCTTTCTAACAAGCTGCAAGAGTCAGGATAAGCTGGAAAATGAACTATAACCCTTTTTTAAGGTTGTGTCTCCTCTGAAGCTGCAGGGTTTTGGTGTCTGAACACACAGAGTGTGAGAGAAGATGGAGGGTTTAGTTTTCCAGGTGAGGGAAAGAAAAGGTAGTGTATTCTAAAGTTTGTGGGGTTTTAATTAAAAATAAGTCTATTTTCCATTAGTTTTACGTAGACAACTTGAGCAGCCTGTCCCAGCTGCTGGAGCCTCCCTGCCATGGAGCAGTAGTGACAAAAGCAGGACCAGGAGGTGCAGAAGCAGGCAGGGTGTTATTTCCCATTTCTGAAGGCTCCCATGTGCTGTACACAGGGTTGGTGAGTGGGACCCAGCAGATGGAAACTCTGCTGTGACTGAGCTCTGTAAAAGGCTGAACTTTCACTTTGACTTTAAAGCAGATAATTTGCCACTGGCTTAGCTTGGTGGAATTCACCAGCTTGTGTGTGTTATGACTTATGCTGGCCTTTGTTTGGACCCAAGGGGAGAGTGGCCATTTGACTGTGGCAGAGGTGGATGTTGGGCTTTGACTTGCCAGCTTTCTCCTAAGCAGCCTTAGTTTCCTCTCCCACAAACACTTAAGCTGATTTCTCTGCCTTCCCTTTTAATCCACTGTTGTTTTAAACCTGCAGTTCTTTCCTCACCAGATTTGGCTTTCTGTTGGCAAACTGGCAGCAGTTACTGGAGCCTGGGCAGTTGGCGGCTCCTGGTTGCCCATGGGTCTCCTTAGCCATGCTCTGCCTGCTGCAGGGACTTGAGGGATGCTGAGAGCCCCTGTGGCCACAGCTGCCAGCAGGGCTGGCTGGAGCAGGAGTGTCAGGAGAGCCCTGTGGTGCTGTGTGTGTGGTCAGACCCCAGACACGTGCCTGGGAGCTGAGCAGGGCCGTGACTCAACAGCTGGAGCACGTTCAAGCACGGGAGCCTCACTGACAGGGGATGGGATGGAATTAGCTCTGAAGCCACTGACATAGTGAAGCTTCCAGTCAGAAATCAAGAAACTCAGATCAGTAATAAAGTCATTTTGAAGGGCTTTTTTTTTCCCAGTTGTGTGCAGCAGCAGCAGAGCATCCAGACAAATGAAATACGAGGGGATGGAAAGTCAGTGGTTCCTTTGAGACAGAAACACTTTGATACAACTTTTTTTCCCCCCTTCCAGTTGAAGTCACTTCATTGAGTTTATTACCCTGACTTTTCCCATTCGTCTCACAAATATTTGGACACTGCATAGAAATAAGTGTGGGGTGCCCTCCTCCTGCACACCAGAGAGGAGAAAGCCAGCTCTGAGACTCCAGCTAAACACTGCTGGCTATTCATCAACAAGAGGCGAGGGTAATATGATAGAATAATTTCCAGTGGGCAAACTCCCAAGCTCAGAACAACCTCAATGCTGCATTAAGGGGTTTGGTTACTATAGATAGGCAGGAAAGAGCAGAGGGACAGAAGTGGTTTGAGCACTGCCATGGCTCTGTTTTCTGCCTCTGTGTGTGTTATCAAATTATTTAATCTGTAAAGGCATGCTGTGCTATTTGAACTTTTTAACTGGACAGACACACAGGACATGGAAGATATTTAAATTAGGATATGGTATAAAAAAATTACTTTTTCATAGCAGACCAGTGCTGTGGTAACCAGTCTAGGAAGTCTTGCTCAGCTGTGCTCTTCAGAGGACAGTTTCAGGTCCCTTACACCTGTGATCTAGAATCCCTTCCTGCTCGAGTGTCACTGCTCTTTTATACCACTTCATCCAGATTCATTACAAAGCAAATTCTGTTTATAATGCTTGAATGATGTATCAGCTTGCAAACTGTAAAGCCCAGTGTGCCGAATAATTCTGTTGGCATTCACTGAACATAATCACAGGAGCTCCACAGCTTGATCCATGAGCAGGGGGAGAGCTGAGGGCCTGCACAGTGATGGGGATGCTGTACCAGAGTAACTGACTCACCCCCTGCTCTGTTTAGACAAGTTGCTTCACCCCTGTGCCTGCTTCCCATCTGCAGAGTGAGGTTAAGGCCTGACTGTTTAAGGATGAGAAGGATGTGTTTGTAATGTGCTTGGAACAAGAAAAGTGCTATTTTAAGTGCTAAGTGTAATTGAGTGTGAGAGAATATTGGTTTGTGACTCATTTGTTTAACTGCAAATGCATCAGAAACTTGTGAGCAGACGAGAGCTGGAAAGTGCTTGGTGTAGACAGAAAGCCATGGCAGTAAAAAGCTGCATTAATTTGTGATCTTCAAAGCAGGACTTAGCAGGACTGTTCAAACAATAACGTTTATTATTTTTGCAAATGTCAGCTGGTTTACTTCACCAGTACTATTTTAAGCAGTTCCTATTCTGCTCCAGCCACTTGCTTCTGTCCTTGCTCTGTGTGTCTATCTCCCCTCAAAGTGTGGCACACAAATGATTTGGTGTTTGCTGTGACCAGAGGGTAAAAAGAGCAAAGGAAAAGTGTTTGGCTGGTGGTGGTGAAGGGAAATCTGCTGTCAGCAGAAAAGGAACTTTCTCTCATGACATCTCCTCTTGGAGGTTTCTGACTATGCAGAAACATTGGTTCAGCCATTCATGTGCTTGCCCCATGAAGGTGGGTAGAGATATCTGGTGGCAAGGAGAAAGGAAATTGTAATCTTTTGAAATCTTTCTCCCTTTCAAATATTTTATCCCTACAATGCAAAATTATCACAATAGATGACCAAGGGTTTTGTAGGCATTGAGTGTTTTCCTACTGAGACCAGCAGTTTGGATCTCACTGTAGCCTGTGGAGGAGCCAGACACAATTTGTTGCTGTCACCATTACTTCCCTGTAGATTAATTATTGTAATTGTTTGCCAGTTCTACAAAAATGAATTCAGAGCCATGACTTTTCGTGGCAAGCATGCATATGCGTGCAAATATGGAAATTCTCATATGGTGTATGGAATAAATACAAATTATTTGCTGGGGAGGAGTTCAAGGGTGTTATCACAGCAGCCAGGAACTCTCTTCTGTGGTGACCTTCAGCACCCTGTGGAGACAGAGAGGTTTTAAAGGTTTGGAGATCCTCTTGTGGATGTAAAGCACTGACGTAAATTGTTGCTAAGTTGGGGTGCCAGCTGCTGTAAGTGATTCTTCAGAGGCCAACTGATATGCCTGGATTTATCTGCAGTGGCCAAGGTTTATAGTGCCTCCCTCAGTGCACTGAACAGGACTTCAGGGTACGAAGAAAACCTGAGAAAACATTTACTTCAGTGAGTGGAGAGCAGGTCTGCAGCCAGACCAGGTTAGGATCAGTGCTCACACAGCTTCCATTTGTAGGATGCCTGCAAAATCGTGGTCTAGAGGACAAATCTAACCAGAATATTGGTGAGTGTGCCCACAGAGGGTCATAACATGCTACCAGGAAACCAGGTTTAAAGGGAGCCAGGTTCCTTTCCTTGAGCTGTGGTTAGGTGGTTTCTGAGTACGAGGAGCAGCGCTGCTCTGTGGTATTTAACTGCTGGGTGCTAGATTTGACTCAGCAGCCTTTGCAGTTTGCAGTCTGCATGCAAACGAGGTGCTGCAGTGCTGCATGCATGAGGCTGCTCCTCTGGACTCACTACAGCCAGTGCAGTTAATGCTCAAATAATCTAAAAGAAAAATGAAACATACAGCAAAACTGTACTTTTCTTGATAATGTACTTAGAGACAAGTTGAATTATCTGGGTCGCAGAGAGCAACTCAGACCTTCATTTATTAAAGTGCTCTTTGCTCAAAATACTTCCTAAATTGCTCTCTGCAAGGCAGCTTAGTTTTTTTTAGCTTCATGGTTAAACAGATAAAAATGCATTTCAACAGTAAGTCTGCATATGGCATGATTGCAAACCTTTGAGACTTCTGCTTTTAGGTATTCAAAAAACAATGAAAATACAATTTTTAGAAGGGCTGAGCACTTGTGCAGTTCAGCTCCTTGAAGGATGCCCCAGTATCAAAGCAGTTCCTGTGTTGTGTGTTTTTTTCTGGTGCACTGGAAGTGAAATCCATTTCAGACGACAAGGGCAGGCATTTTTGTTCAGGTTATCCGTGGGGCCACAGTCAAAATTGATGCTGCTGAATGGGCAGAGATCAGCATGCTGGGAAAGGCATTAGTGGGACTGTGTTCTCCATCCCTGGAGCAGCCAGGTCCCAGTACCGGGCAGAGCCCTGCCTGCACTGAGCCCCAGCCAAGGGCTCTGCTCTGCCAGAGCTCTGAGAACCACTCACTTCATCCCCTCTCTCAGTTGCTCATCTGCCAGAGGCACGATGATTGCCTCCTTTGTAAAGTACTTGGGACCTGCTGGAGATAAGTGCTTTGTAGAGAGGTGGTTTTCCTCTTCCCTCCAAGGCACAGAGCAGTAGCAGTCCCACTGTCCCTGCCTCTGCTTTGCAGGATCCCTGCCTCCAAGGAGAAGCAGGAAATGATGATGATAGTGTGGTCGAGGAAAGCAGGAAATTATGGTGGTGTTGTGGTTTGAAGCATAACACAGAGCCACAGTTTATTAATTTTCTTTATTGTGTTTCACTCAATAAATTTACAAGTGGTGCAAGCGTCTTCCAGATAATGCTGTAACACATCCCTGGTTTCAACATATTTGCCCTAATCCAGTAATGCTTTTCTGTGTCTTTTTAGATTCTGAGCGTTCCCATCTCTCCTCGTTCACGATGAAGTTGAAGGGCAAGTTTCATTCACCAAAAATAAAGAGAACACCCTCAAAGAAAGGGAAGCAAGCTGAGCTGACAGTGAAAACACCAGAGAAGTCAGTGAACAAAGTAAGCAAAGGCTGTTCTTTATCCTGATGGTTTCTTGCTTCCTGCTACTCAATTTATCATAATCTGGTGTGTGAATTTGTCCTCTGCATAATTCTGCAGCTCAGGGATCCTCAGGGTTATTTTATGGTTACCTATAAACAGCTCTGTATAGTATTAAATCAAGTCATGTATTTCCCTTTGGAGAGCATGATGAGACCTCCTTCCACAAGCATTTAAATATCTCATTATGGAACGTGGTGTATGGCCTGACACAGCCTCCCCACGTGCACACCCTGTGGGTTATGCTCACAGATTCCAAAGAGCTGCCTGGTTTTGGGGTGTGATCATTTAAAAACCCCAGAGCCAGGCGAGCACGTCCTTGAAGCTGATCCAAAGATGTGCTCAATCTGTGATGACACCAGCAGGGAGAGTCACACAGAAGTGTTCAAGCAGCTGCTGATCCAGCACAATGTTCCTCAGCCCAAATGTACTCCAGGTCCTCTAAGAAATGAGGTCACAAACTGATCTGTGTTATCTGCTCTCCTGTTGTGACCTGATTGTGCAGCTGGAGACAATCTCTGTGACAACACTCTTGCAGTCACTTTTCAAGTACAAATCGAAGCCAGAAGTTAAGAACAGTGGAGGTTGTTTAGGATATTCAAACATCATTCTCAGCTGTTAAAAGTCTCATCCAGTGTGCAGTGCCAGATATGCAGAATTTTTCAGATTATCTCTGCTGAGAGTTGTTGTAGAGTTACTGAGAGCAGCCAGCAAGATAAAGTTTTCTTAGGCTTTGTGACTTGCTCAACACCCAGAGAAATCTCTGCAGCACATCCTCACCCTCTTCTGCACCATCATGTGGAAGATGATGAGGGTGTTTTCCCCAGGCTGTAGGTTTTTTCCCCATGAGATTGTGGAAATGCTTTCTAGGGAGCCAAACACGTTGCATTGCTGAGTGCTGTTTAAAAATAAAATCTAAAAAACCCCAAACCAACAGTGAGAGTACTCCTTGAAGGCTTTTAATTCCAGTGATGTTTCAGGATGGCATCTTGAGATAATTTAGAGAACCTTCCTTTAAACTGATATGTGACCACATTAAATACATTAGAAAATGAAGAGCCCTTTTCAAAATGTGGTCTATAGCAAATGCATGTTAATAATAGATGAAGTTTTTGCTTTTCTATTTTTCCCCTAAAATCAGTGCAAGAGGATTTACTAATAAGCCGTGCTGGACATTAAAACCATTTTTTGTGTACACATTGTGATTTTTTTTAATTGGAAAACAAAACACTTGCTATATTTTTTTTACTGTACATGATTATTTAAGCTGCATTCTTTTTTATACTGCTAAATATTGTTGATTTCTGGCTCATTCCTTAACTATTTCAATAGCTACTGTCCAGCTAATCAATTAGTTGGATGTAGTCAGCTCATTAGCTCTGTGTGGAGGGAAGAGGATGTGCCTGGATTGTCGCCAGGTTTTCTCACTGGGATATAGACATCAGCTGACAAACAGGAGATCTTCTGTCAGAAGGCTCACTTGATAAACCAAATATCATCCTTTTCTCCCTCTTAAGTACTTAAGATGCTATTTTTGTGCTCTTGAAGTAGATAATCACTGTAGAGCAGAAATAGCAATACTAAAAATTAATGTAAAATCATGATGTGTAAGCTGAAGGATATGCTCAGCTCAAGCAAACATCATCATCTCCTGTTCCTCTCTATATCTGGATAGGGGCAACATTGGGGGAGTTCTTTTCAGAGCCTCCTTTTGTCCCCTGAACCCTGTCTGTGATTCTCATCCTATTGTAGGAACAGGAGTGTCCTTCAGTGCTATATACAGACTTATGATAGGTTTTACACTGCCAAAATGTAAGGAAAAAAAGGATGATTCCTGCTTTTGTAATTGGGTGTATTCTGTACAGCTCACTGTGACCCTTTTTGGGTCAGCTGTGTCTCATACATGATGCATTTGCAATTTGATTATTAAGGGAAAATTTCAGAAATCATCCAGAAACATCTATACGTGTCAGGCAGGGAGTGGAGAGGAAATGCTGTTTTGCCTGAGTTGTAACTTTTTCTCATTTAAAAAGAGAAATGAGTGCCCCCCCCTATCCCTGGAAGTGTTCAGGGCAGGTTGGACAGGGCTTGGGGCAGTCTGGTCTGGTGGAAGCTGTGGCAGGAGCTGGAACGAGATGAGATTCAAGGTCCCTTCCAACACAAAGCATTCCATGGTTCTGTGCACACCTACACACACCTATATATGAGACCTTTGGACTTTGGAAGAGGATTCATTAAAAAGTGCTCCTGGGGAGTGTCACCCAAAGAACTAGCAAAGGAAAAAAAAAAAACAAAAAGAAAGGAGAAGAAAGGGCTTTGTCCCAGACAGTGTCCGGTGGCTGGACTCACATCCCTTGGTGTGCTCAGGAAGGATTTGTGTTTCCAGTTGTCATTCTCAGCCCTGAACTCTGTCAGGCCCATCCCTCCTGTGCACCAGGAGAGTGTTTAAGCTATTAAGTCACAAGCCTTTCTACAGGAAACAGTTGTTGAATGAAACCCATAAACAGCCATCGGAGCAGGAACTGCAGTCCACATTTTTTCACTTCTGTTTAAGAACTTTGACTGCTGGACCATGGTCATACTTACCCAGGGAATTTACAGACTCTCTGATCCCTAAAATGTGTGAACATTTCATATGAACTGCAAAACCTTCTTGGGAGAGGCTGAGGCTCTCCATGGATTAATGGTTGGGCTCAATGATCCTAGAGGTTGTTTCCAACCTAAATGTTTTTATGATTCTATATCCTGGAATAAACTGTGCAGTGGTGAGGGCATATCCCTGCAAAATGGGAAATGTCATTTTTTATTCCAGTGAGTTGCCAGGATGCTCCTCAGCAAGGGAGTTGAGGGCACTGTGGGCTGTAGATCAGAACTTGAGGTTCCTGGCAAGAAGTGTTGTCCAAAGGAGAGGCAGCAGCAGCAGATTTTGGGCACTGCCCAGATGAGATGGAAAATGACAGGGTGGTTTGCAGTTCTTGGATTGGGACTTGGACTTCTGAAGTTGGAGCTAGATGGAACTTGGGATTCTAATCCTTTTATGCAACTGGCCCCAAATTACTAACCAGTGCTGCCTATAAATTGTTCTTGCTAAAATCTTTTGGGCTGCTGGCCTGATCTTGCAGAAAAGCAGCATTTTAACAGCTGACAAGAATATGGGGAGCACACAAAGCCTATAGGACATTAATTCTTGAAGCTGAATTTACTGAGGAGATAATGGATGAAATCTGACTCTGCTAAACTCTCTGCTCCTTTTCTAGCAGTGTTCAGTAGTTAATTTAAGTGAGTTAAATCTCACTTAGAAACTACTTGTGGCATTAAAAGTCCTCCAGGCATGCTGTTGTAAACTTTTAGAAAATATCCCTGTCCAGAATGCCATTGAGGTATCATGTATCACTTCTGAATTTCCTCCTCTAGTGTTGGTGGTGGCAAAGAAATCGGTGACCACAATTCAGCTTTATTCCAATTAATTGTTCCCTTTTGCAACATTCATTCACCAATGCCAAAACTTAACTTTTGCAGTTAGTCTTCATGGAAATTGTGTGAGTTCTCTTGTTCCAGCAGCATCACAAAATGATTTAGGATGGAGGCTCATCAGAGTGGAGTTTATTTGGATATTTTCATGTATTTTACAGGGATGTGCAGTAACTGGATAAGGGGTGTTGCCTTTAAAGTGACAGAGGGCAGGTTTAGGTTGGATATTAGGAAGAAATTCTTCTCTATGAGGGTGGGAGGCCCTGGCACAGGGTGCCCAGAGCAATTTTGGCTGCCCATCCCTGGCAGTGTCCAAGGCCAGGTTGGATGGGGCTTGGAGCAGCCTGGGACAGTGGAAGGTGACCCTGCCCACGGCAGGGGGTGGAGATGTTCTTTAAGGTCCCTTCCAACCCAAACCATTCTGTGAAAGGTTTCTTCTTTCACTGTCCCAGTTTAGGGCGTGGGTTTCAAAGCAGTGTCCTTGATGTCATCAGTGGTGCTAATCTTAGCCTAAAACTGATCAAGATCAGCCTTCAGTTTGGGATGCAGGTAATTCTGAAGGTTAAAATGTGGGTGTAATCTTGCACTGACTATTTCTCTGAAAGAGTAGTAATTCAATTTAAAAGTGTTTGTGGTAGAAGGGGTTTTTTTCCACTCCTCCTGGAATACACCTCAGTGTCACCATACTTTGTTAAAGGAACCCTGCCCTTAAAACTCCTGGAGTTTTAACATATCTCTCCTTTTCTTCCCTCCTCTTCAGAATGTATCATGGCTAGAGGAAAAGGAGAAGGAAGTTGTCAGTGCTCTGCGTTACTTTAAGACTATTGTGGACAAAATGGCAATTGATAACAAAGTGTTAGAGATGCTGCCAGGCTCGGCAAGTAAAGTGCTGGAAGCCATCCTGCCCTTGGTGCAAACTGACCCACGCATCCAGCAAAGGTGAGTCTCCTTCCTGGATTTTGGGACCATGACAGACCAACAGGCTCCTTCTTTATCTGAAGAGCTGCATGCAGGAGATGCTGATGAAGTGACTGCTGGTTTTATTAATTGCGTGGTGGTTTTCAGACATCATTTAAAAGCAGATTCCCTGCTGTGAAGAAGCTCATGCTGTGGAAAGATAAAGCAAATCAGGCTGCTTTCAGAGTGGAGGAAGGGATGGTTCTTAGCATAAACTTGGAAATTCATCATTTTCTGCAGGGAGATTCTCTTCAGATGCTATTCCTGTTTCTGCAGTCCATGGTGGTGTCCTAAAAGCTAACAAATCCAATAGCTTCACCTGAAAAAGGAGTTTATCTTCAGAGTAATCCTTTTTTGTGCTCAGTTTATCCACCCTGATCTTACAGAAGTCTGAGCCTGCACTCTTAACTGCTTTTTGGATTTTACTGGATCAGATACAGAAGTAAATAGATGTACTTCAGCAGATTAACCAGTCCAAGTTCATTCCTGCTGTACTCAACAGATTATTGTTTTATGTTTTAGCAGATTATGTGTATTATGTTTTTGCCGGTTAGGCAGTGGGTTTGAAGCCAGGAAAGAAGTAGAAATTTGCCAAAGCCAAGCTCAGCATGGTTTATAAGAATTTGTGGTGTTGCCAAGGCATGGAGATATTGCTGGTGTTCATCCCATGGATGCTGGAGCAATTGATTTACAGAAAACAAACAAACATTGTTGAATAGTACTGAAAGAGCAAAGTTAACACAGAGAAAAGCACAGAACTGAGCAGAGAAATTCAGGTGTTTGGTTCCTGAAATCCTGCCAGTTTTTGTGCTGTTCCTGTTTGTTTTCCCATTCAATATCTCCACATTTTTTTTCTTTCAAGATGCTTTTTTCAGTGCTGGCACAGGGAATGTTTATAATGTAGTTGGGGTAGCACTGGGGTGCCAAATACTTTGCAAACAGAGATGCTCAGTTGTGTTTGGCCCCAGTGCTGAGGCCAGGGCTGCTTCTGGCAAAAAGGAAGGAGGAAATGGGTGAGTAACACACCTGTGGCTGGGACAGGTAAGATCCAGTTGAGGTTGGCTCTGTTGAACCATAATGAGCAAACCTGTTAGAATGGGAGTGTCCTCTACACAGTGATAAGTCTTTCTTTCTGGAAACAGTTTGCATTAAAGCACAGATCCCATGTCCATGCCCTGCCTCCCAAAAAACCCAAAAGGGGATCTGCCTTTCTCAAAAAGCCACGTCCTTCTCTCCCTACCTGTGTGCTTCAGAGGCAGGACACCAAGGGCTGATTCTGATGGCAAATCCCCCTCAAGAAAAGTGAGCAAGACTTGTGTCAGTGAAAAGGAAAACCCTGCAAGCATTTGCATCGAGGAAAAAAGTAATTAAATCTTGCACAAAATGGGCTTTCAATTACTGCCTCCTTAGAAGGAAGCAGACTGAAGATTAATGGCAAAGAAATCAAAGCCTTAGAAAGAGATGAGAGAGGGCCCTGTTTTGAAAATATCTCCTACCAAGCTAATTTCATTTGAAATGAGGACAAGTGGCAAGCAGTAAACCTGAAAAAAAGCCCCAAACAACAACCAAACAATCAAGTCCTTGCCATTGTTTGTATCCCCTGGTTGTAACTTGACAGTAGTTCATTCCCCAGGTCTGCAAACCTCATTCTCCTAAATAAACTCATTGGAGCTCGTGGGCTTGATTCTTTTCTCACAGATAATGAAGTTACTGGAGTTAAGCCAATGTAAAATGGATACCAGAGAGAAATGGGAAGATTTGGAACAACTTGTATCAGTAATGATTGCAAGATTACACCTTCTCTTATCTGTTTATGGTTTTGATGCAGCTTGAAATTGATTTAACATGACAAAGAATTGCTGAAGCGTTGCCATCAGCAGTACTGTTAACACACCTTGTTTAGTAATGAAGTCAGTGTTTTGAGAATGGCCAGGAAAATGCCTGGGAGCGCTGTTGTTACAGTTAACTTTTATTTAAAGTTGTCATCCTTCCAAAACTTTTTTTTTTTTTTCCCTGCAGAACAATAGCTTCAATTCTGTTTCTCATTAAAAACAAAACAAAGCAACACCCTTCCTCTTTCAAACCTGAAATTCATTCAGTTCAGTTTCTCTAAAGAAGTAGTTTTGATTATGTGTTTTCAGGCATTGTAAACAGTGAGGCAGTGATTTGTAAAGGAATGAATAGAGTCAGCTCTCAGTGATCCAAGGTGGTTTTGGGGAGAGCTAATAAGGAAGAAGGATAATACTGAAATAACATAGCTTAAACTTAATTGTAGGGCTTAAATACTTATCTTTAAAGTTAAGGCATAGGATGGAGCTGTAAATTAAAATGGAAAGAATGTTATTTTTAGCATTGCTGTGTTAACCTGCATCCCAGATAATTCCTCCTGATACCTGGGAATGAGCTGATGATGGTTTGCACCTTCAAACTGTCATCATTTGGTGCTAGAGAGCAGGAGAGCAGCTGCACTGGAGGAGAAGCCTGAGCTTTGTCACCTGCTCAGCACAAACTCTGAGTGTCAGAGAGCAAAGCAGTGAAACGCACAGTGTGAAACTCGCTCTCCTAACCTTTGATAACGTCTCCAAAATTTCTTTTTGCTCTTTTTTTTTTTTCTCAACTGCTCCCCTCTCCTGCTGTGCAGTTCTGCCATCTCATCGTGCTACAGCCGAGTGTACCAGAGCCTGGCCAACCTCATCCGCTGGTCTGATCAGGTGATGCTGGAGGGCGTCAACTCCGAGGACAAGGAGATGGTGACAACAGTGAAGGATGTCATAAAAGCTGTTCTGGATGGAGTCAAGGTACATGAGACAAATATTGTAAATTTTATTGCAAAGAGCATATAATAATGTGTTTAGAGGAAGTCTGTGTAAACTAGGTTTTTAAGTGCAGATAAAATATGGAGCTCTTATTTCTGCCTTCAGTAAACCCCTTAAATCAACTGTTCCATAAGTTAAATGTTCCTTCTTGGAGTGCTGCTTGAAGACTAGCACAGTTTGGCTCTGAATGTGAACTTCTGGCATGCTCACCCTGGCATTTGGATGAATTGGAAGAAGCAATGGATCTTTATTCAGCATTTTATTAAATTTTCAGCAAGTCATTCCCAGTCTCCCATGCAGATTACAAGACGTGGTTTGCACATTTTCTGTCTCAGCAAAATAAAATGAAAATGTTCCCTCTCAATGCCCACAGAGAATGAAAGACTCCAGCTCCATTTTTTAAGACAAATTTCAAGGGATTTGTCAGTGATACATCAGCACTCTAAGCAGCTGGATTAGGGTGTGGAACAGGTGATGAGCTAAACTCAGTTTTCTGGAGATTAGTTTTACATTGCTAATGGAAACGTTTAACAGAAACCTTTGTGTTCATTGTCAGACCTGCCTGTAGCATTCCCTCCCTGCTCCACCCTGGAAAAGCTGTTGCCTTTCCTTCTGCCCCCTGGAAAGATTCTGGTCCCCATTATTTCTGTGCCCCAGGCTTGTCTCTGGGCTGATCACTCACCTGTCCTGGCACTGTTGGTAAAAGTTTGGTTGACCTGGACACCCGTGGACAGATGTAATATCTCCTGGGAATCTTATTTTGGAAACTATAGAGGAAGGTAAATCTCTTTCAAGAGCAGGGCTGAATCTGTTTAAATCAAGCTACACAAGGAAAGTTGGGATAGAATTTTAAGAACTGCAGCAGCTGTTTCATTTGGGGTTATGTATCAGGAACAGGGATCTTTCACTGAACTCAGACTCAGTTTTATTAAATGGAGCCAAATACAAAACTGAAGTGGATCTCCCAGGCTTTGACTGTCACATTTTCAGGTCTCTTGGTTTGGTGTCTGCATCATCTGGATATCTCTTTAATGTTACTCAAACGCAGATACTAAAATCTGCTATTACTTTATGAGCCTTTTAAATAAATATCTTTCAAACAAATCATTTCTATCACCTAAAGAAGATGGATTTTCTAGGATTATTTTGCACAATATGCTCTTTAACTTTAAGCTACACATTTTAAAAGTAAAGCTGGTCTTAAATTTGCACAGCAGGAGAGAGGGAAAGAGTTTAGCCTCAAATCTCAGCTGCTGTTAGCACTGGAAATCAGCAGCAATTTACAGGATGTGAAAACCTGTGCTGTGGTGCCTGAACTGTAATTCCCCAGCAAACGGTGAGTTATCACTGACACAGTCTGCACAATCCCAGGGAGAGATGTGCTATCCCCAGATCTGGAACAGAGTTGTGTGGTCTCATTGCAGGAGACTTGGACACACAAAGTTGTTCTTTGAGTTCCAGCAATATTTAAACCCTTGGTACCTGCTGCCTTCCAGCCAGAGCTGTGTCCTCTGTGGACTGGGGGAAGGTCTGGCACTGGGGAAGGTTTTGGGTGTCTGCTCATGAGCCAGCCCAGACTGGGAGCAGCATGGACATGTCCATGCAGTGCTGAGCCTGAGCTGTGGAGCCCTGTTCAGCTGTATCAGTCTCTGCTTTTTTTTTTTAGACTGAAAGTTATTTTGGCTTTCCAGTTGGAGCTAGCTGATGTCTGGTCAGCCTTAGAGCAGATGTGTGGCTGTCTGGGGAGATGGGAGAGTATTTGCCCATCAAGAGGTCAGCATTTGGAAGCAGCGTGCTTTCACCTCCTGCACAGCAAGGAACAAGATTTATTTTAGAAAGGCCAAGCCACATATCAGATCTGGAAGCAGAACTGAGAAGGTGGACACTTCTCTCCACAGCAGAGACTATTTTGTTTTTCTGGCAGATCACACAAGATCCGCTTCCACATTTCAGTGCTCACTTCTTTATTTTGAGAATTAAGCATAAAGGAGGCTCTTGCTCACCTCTGTTACTTGATATTTTGATCTCAGGTTTTAGGGCTTTGCTAGGCAGGAAAAAAAAATACTTGGTTTGATTACATAACTTCTCAAAAATCCATCTCATTGTGGAATTTTCAGCTTGCTGAAGTAGCATAGTTTGTAGAGAGGCTTTAATTATCTCTAATTACTGCTGCAGGAATCTCTTTCCTTGCTGATAAGGAATAGCATAATGTGCATCTGGCTCAGTTGTGTGCAGATTACCTCTGTGTGTATGCTAAAGATTTTGGCTTGATTTCCTCATTTGGGGGTAGCAGAGAGGAGAAACATTCAGGGTCTGGTGATATTTGTCAAAGCTGGAAGGGAAAGTGATCCTCTCAGGTAATTGCAGTCATTCATTGCCTTGGTGCCCGTGCTGGAAGTTGCTTTGGGTTTTTCCCCCAGTCCCAATGGTTTGAATAATTGTGAAGATACTTTTGAAGCAAATTGGATTGGTTTTCTCCCATTTTAACCTCCATTCCCATGTGATAGACAACTGTGTGTCCATTATGACTGGCAAAATAGGAAAACTTCAGCCCTGAGTGTCTGGGGCTCCTCAGCACTGCTGCAGCACAGCCACCACCACAGTCTGCAGTGTTGGCCTGGCTTTGGTTTTAGGTGGTGAAGAAAGGTCAGAAAAAGGAAACATTACATTTTCCCTTCCATAGCCTTTTCAGGGGGATGTTTAAGGAGTGTTTTGGCTTTTGGTTTGAATGCACATATATTTTATTTCCCTGATTGTGCTCCTGCACATTTGCAGTCCTCACTGGCCACTACCCCAAAGGCCCACAGGGTCCAACCTTGAGTCTGTTAAAGTGCACGAGAATCTTCAAAAACCTTTTCAGCAGTGGAAATTAGTCCAGAGGGCAGAAAGGTGGCAATCCATTGTGTCATCACTCAGCCCCATAATGCCAAATGCATCCAAAAGAGTCAAGAGATGTTACACATCAGGACACTTCTCAGAACACACTGTTCCTCACCAGGGCTCTCTGTCCCAGCAGGGACATCTTCATCGTTTTAGTCCCCATGGACATCTGTTTGTGCTCCCTCTTCCTTCCCCCTGTGTGGGATGTTCCAGGACAGCTTCTGGAAGGTTGAGTGTTTGTCCTGGTTTTGGGTAACACAGTGTACATTCTGTTGGAGCACACCAGGAGTGCAAGTAGAGCATGGAGACCAAAGTCAGCTGTGGTGGACACTTGGATGGTGTTTGCACCTTATTCCTCTTGCTGTGTGTGTGTTAACCCATGGAATTCCAGCTTTCAGTCGAGCCCATGTAAAACTACCAGAACTGGAGTATTTTCCTTCCTCAGAGGGGTGATGGCAATGAATCCCAGTTGCAGCTGCTGCACTGAGAGAGCAGTGCCAGTTGTTTCCCAGCTCCACAGACAAGGACACAAAGATGATACTGGAATGATGACACTGTACTTTAAAAAAAATATATATAATTAAAATTGATTCCTTATAGTTTCCTTTGTGTAATATGCTGGGAAGCCAATAGTGGCAGGAAGCACTGCCAGTTTTCCAGCCTGCCTGTAAGAGGGGCATGTGTTTGTATCTGTGAGCAGGATTTGTCAGCCTCAGACATCCATAAAATGTTCTCTCCATCTTTCTGGTGTGAATGATTGTTGCTTTGACTGCTGGCAGGCTTAGAGTTCAGGATTATCATGCCTTTATCTCTTTATCCAGAGCCTTATCTGCCTGTAACAGATACACTACAGTAGCTCCTTGAATGATTAAGTCTTCTGTTGCTAATGTGTTAAAAGGTGGCTTCAGGGGAAGCAGGCCTTTTAATAAAGGTGTTCAATGGTTAATTTTTAGTTGGGCATTTTACAGAAAACTTGCTCTTCTGTAAATACATTCTTATTTATAAAATATAAAGCAATTATCTAATGTTGTTTTTAGGTAGATGAAGTACTCCGCTGACTCTTTGGTACTTGTATCTGTGTATGTAAATCCAATTTACCATTATCTAGGGTGCTGTGTGGACTGGAACACATTTGTGAGACAGAGGAAAGAGGAAGCACAACAAAAAGACACACATGGGTTTGTGCAGAATCCCCATACAGTCAGGGGTAATGAACTTCACTCAAACACTGCCAAAACTTCCTCTGGGTGCAGGCTGCTCCTTTGCAGCTGTTCTGCATCATTTGTGTGGCTGTGTACCAGACTTAAACCCAAATCAGCTCTCTCTGTATCCACACCATCATTAAACAATAACCAAAAGTTTCCTGCAGTAGCATCCCTTTGTGTTCTGGGATGTTGAAGTGCAGCCAGCATTCAGCAAATAGTGATTATTCTCTTTTTCTTCTCTCTGTCCATCAGGAGCTGGTCAGACTCACGATTGAAAAGCAGGAGCATCCCTCTCCCACAAGCCCAGTTAAACCCAGTTTACCAGCATGTAAATCTGACAGGTGGGTCACTGATTTCTGATTTTCTGTATCAGGCAGGACTGATGTAGAAGGGATAATTTCTGACTGCTGACATTTGAATTAAATCATTCAGCTGTTCTTCATAGAGGGTGGTGTAATGTTCCTTATGTAGCCCCCCACCCATTTCAGTAGGATCACTGACAGAGAATGTGCTGTGATAGGAAAGACACCAGAATCTGGCAGTGAAACATCCCTTTGTGTCACATGCACACTGAGCTCTGCATATATATGGAATTCCACCTGCAGATGCAAATTCTGCCTTCTGCTCTAGGTGTCTGTCTGAGAGCACACGATTTCAGATAGGTTTGAATCTGTCAGCAGGCTGTGTTCCAGCTGTGGTTTGTGATCTACAATCTGTGTTTTGCATGTTGCAGCCCATCAGAACTTCCCCTTACCGACCGAGAAATGGAGATCCTCAACAAAACAACCAATATGACTCAATCCAACGAGCTGCTCACTGACTCCATGGATGAAGAAGTTGCACCTCCTAAACCCCCTCTGCCCAGCATTCGTGTGGCAGAGAACAGGTAAAACTGAGCAGGCTGAAGAACACCAGTGCCTCTTACCAGCCTGCTGGTTTTTAAACAATCCTGCAAAATGTGCACAAGAGAGAAGGGTTAGTGTTGCCTTTCAATTTCCAGTCCTCCAGAGTAATTCCTCCCTGCTCCTGGACTCTGCTTTGTGTTCTGTCTCTCTTATTATTTTTTGTTTCTTTTCCTTTCCTTCTTTTTATATGAGGATAGTGCCATGCCCTGACATCCACACGAGGCATCACATAAATCTGTAATAACCTTACATAAAACTGTGTGCATCCCACACTGTACCAGTGTCTTGGGCTGCTGTATCCAATGGGAAATATTCCTTTAACCTCAGGGGGCAGTTACCAATCTGTCCTACACAGCCAGTTTGTTCTGCTTTGCCTATCAGCTTAAGAGTGAAAGCCAAGAGTGTGTGAAAAAAAACCCTTGTGCTTGGTTTTTCTTACCCTATTCTAGGAGTAACCGCATGAAAGTTTCTGTGTTCTATTTTGAGAAGGAAGAGAAAACCCCCAATCTGCAGTTTTTTTGTGTATGTATGTGTGTGTGTTGTTTTTCTTCTCTAGTACTGGTGCTAATGGCTGGTGTGAAAAATATGGGTTGTGTTAATTTGAAAATGCGGCATCAAGGGCTGTGGCTGACAAAAAGAATCACATTTCTGTGTATTTGATGAATTCTCAAAGGTTATATAAAAACTTCCTGGTATGTTCCAAGAACAGACTATGTGTGCTCTTGGGAACTTCTCAGGCTTGATGACTACCAGAATTATGTGTCATTAGAAAAACTAAAAGTCAAAGGGTTAAACTCTCACGAGTTACTGCAAACGTGTGGCTCTGACACAGATTCGTGGGGCCCTCACAGTGCACATGGTGAGAGCAGCTCTGACCCCTTTGTTCCCTGAAGTTCACCAAGAAAGCAAAGGTCAAAAAAGAGAATTCTGCTGTTCTGTAAATTTGTGAAAATTTGAGCGTTTTTCAGACTGGAAGGTTTGAGGAGGGGGAGGGACTTCTGTGAATGGAAACAATATTTGGGTCAACCAAAACATTTAATTTGGCTTGTCACTGCTTTTATTAAGAAATAATTACCATGCTAATTAGCTCCATTAAAAAATACTTTTTAGAACAGCATTTGGTTTTGTTTAAGAAATACCAACCTTAAAAAATAAATCACTTAACAGGACCTTACCTGTACGAGTATTCTTGGATTGGTATTTGTTAGTGGATACATTTTGCTGAATTGCTCCTGGCTGACAGAAGCTTTCTGGAAAACAAGTTGTGAAGCCTCTGAAAATATTTTTTTTTTTTCTGTAAGAGTGATGGAAGCATCAATTCCTGTTTTGTCTTGCAGCCCTCCACCAGCATTGCCCCCTAAAAAACGTCAATCAGCACCTTCCCCAACCAGAGTGGCTGTTGTGGCCCCCATGAGCCGAGCTACCAGTGGGTCCAGTTTACCTGTTGGGATCAACAGACAGGTAATGGCATAACCCCTTTGGGAAAGCCAAGGGAAACATGCTGTGAAGTGGAGGAAAAGCTCAGGGAGATGCTGTGACCTGCAGCCACACAGATCCCTGCACGTCCCTGCTCATCCCAAACAGCCCAGCACGGACAGCCTGCAGTGGGAGTGGCAGTGCCAGGAACAGCAGTGTCATAAATAATGTGAACAGCTTAATTTTATTTTTTTTTTTTTACAGTGTTGTTGTGTTTAATTAACAAATTGCTCTAAACTTCGTTGCCTTGAGCTGTAGCAGAGCGTGGGGATGGGAGTGGCTGAGTGTTGCCATGTCCAATAGATCAGGGGACAGCAGCTGGCTGAGCTCCCTGACATCTCACCAGGGTTTATTCACAGGCCAAGGGAGCATGTGGCTGAGTGAGATCAGAAGTCTGTCTTCATCCTGTCACAATTTAAAACATCTCTTAACTCAAGCAGTAGTTTGAGCTACTGCTCTGACCACTGCTGGTGCTTTGGGGAAATTTGTACATTTTCTGGCAGAAAAATGGGAAAGTTGTGTGTGTGTTAATCACATTCCATTTCTTGTGCTTGTCTGGGGTTTATGAGGTTGTAAATGGCTGGGTTTGCTTTACCCATTCAGGAACTTACTAGCTCAGCAATGAGGACCTGAATCATATCAAATTGCACAAAAATCAAATCTTGTCCTCATCCCCAAAGCCTCAGCTCTGGCTTAGGGAGCCTCTGCAGTCATTTGGTTGACTCAGATAAAGCTGTGGCCACTCTTCAGTCAAAACTGCAGTCACACTAAGGTTGTTCTGAGGGAGTGGGAATGGTTGAGGGGTTCACTCACAGGTTAATAAGCTTGAGGTAATTTCTGAAATGAACTATAGCCATAGGCACTGAAAGTTGTATCTCACTGTAGTTTATTTTCCCTTTGCATGCACCTGAGGTAACCAAGTATTTGCTAAAGCCCCAGGTATGTAATGAGAAATCTTGCAGTGTCATTCCCTTGTCTCGGTGTCATGACAAGCAGTCATCAGACACACGTAGCTGTGAAGAGCTTGGTCATCTTCTCAGCATCTGTAAAGTCCAGACACACAGAGCTCCCTGGCATGGGCTGTTTGCCAGGTCAGAGGGTTTCTGTGATCTCCAGGAGCTTCAGGAGGGCCAGCAGCACTGCTCCTCTCCCCTCCTGTGAGACCTTTGCTCCTCCAGCTGCATCTTGCGATCTGCCAAGAGTGATGGTGATTGGATTTTTTATTTTTTTTTCCTCCTGAAGGATTTTGATGTTGACTGCTATGCCCAGAGGAGGCTGTCAGGTGGAAGCCACTCCTATGGGGGGGAGTCTCCTCGCCTCTCCCCCTGCAGCAGCATTGGCAAACTGAGCAAGTCTGACGAGCAGCTCTCCTCCCTGGACCGCGACAGCGGCCAGTGCTCCCGAAACACAAGCTGTGAAACCCTGGGTAAGAGGGGTGCTGGGGCCCTTGCCTCCCCTTTGGGAGCTGAGCTGCACGAGTTGATGTAGGAAATGCACTGCACTTGCAGCTGCTGTCTTGGTGTTGCTGCAGGCAGTTCAGTGCACAGCTGTTCTGTTGAAGAGGAAAATGCCCAGGGGAATGTTTCCCTTGCTGTAGGTGATGGTTCTCAAACTCAATTCAGCTCTCAAGTGGAATGTTTTCTTCATTTCAGCCCTGTCTGCAGAAATGACAGTCCTGGTAGAATAAAGCAGCGTTGTTTCTACATGCTAGGAAAGAAGATAAAAATATCAATATGGCACAAATTGTCTGCAGTCGTTTACCTGTTGCACTTTCGTTATTTGTTTGCTAGTGTAAAGAATTAATTATGAGTTATATGAAGTCTGCGTGTTAGAGAGGTGTAAAAAGATGGTCTCAGCTGCAAGGAAGTTCCACCCTGATTAAAATGAAGTGATTAATTAACTGATAAAATGGGAGGGACAGAACTGAGAAGGGCTAAACAGTAAAAGAGAGAAACTAATGCATCATTCTCTATTTACCCAGATCAATCGGATCACTATGATCCAGACTATGAATTCCTGCAGCAGGACCTCTCCAACGCTGATCAGATACCTCAGCAGGGGTCCAGTGTCCTCAGCCCATTGCCAGAGTCCTTGGGTGAGTCTGGCTCCCCTTTCCACGGACAGACTTTCCAGCTCCCGCAGGGCAGCTCTCCTCCACTGGAATTCTGCAGCCTCTCAGGAGCAGCACAGCCAACAGACACTCCCCCAGCTTTACCAGAGAAGAAGAGGAGGAGTGCAGCCTCCCAGACTTCAGATAACTCGGGCTGCAGGGTGTCCTACGAGAGGCACCCCTCCCAGTACGACAACATCTCGGAGGATGATCTGCAGAACGCCGCCGTTGTCTCGTCAATGCCCTTCACCCCCTTTGCTGCTGTTCTGCCTTTCCAGCAAGGAACCTCTCCAGCACCCGTGGAATTCATTGCTGATTTTGCTGCTCCAGATTCGAACAGTGACCCAGAAAAGCCGCCACCTCTGCCAGAGAAGAAAAACAAACACAGTAAGCAAGTTCCTGTGTTTTGGTTTTACTTTTACCTTGCAGTTGTCACACTTCTGGTGGTCACTGAGTGGTGATTGGGGTAATGCTCTTATGTGGCTGCTTTTGACACTCACACTCAATGTCAAACAGATGGAAGGGAAATGTCAGTGCTCTGGTGGGCAGGGAGTGATTCCTGAGGCCAAGATCAATCCAGGCCCAAGGGTTCTGGAATCATCATCTTCATGACTCTAGTGAGACCATGTTACCTGAATGTGAATCTTTGAGGCACTCTGCCTTGCAGATCTTTCTGGTCTCTTCTCCCTTTTTAAGTCCATTCCCTCCCCCCTTCCCCAATTTTTTTTTTCCCACTGCAGAGGAGAGTTGAGTCCTCTCCAAGAGCTTGGAGGAAGGACTGCTTTTCTGTCCAAAACCCAGCCTTGCCAGAGCAGTTACTTGGCAATAGGAGCACAGGCACCCACATAGCTGTGCAAGACAAGACTATTAGCTAGAGTCCAGTAGTGCTGTTTTGCTACAGGATATCATTTCCTTTGGATGCCTGAGAATTTCCCACATCATTAAAACAAGCAGCCTCTGAAAGCAAAGGCTCCTGTCCCCAGCCAGACTCCTGGCACACCAGGGCTGACCACATCTCAGGCTCACAACCTTCTTCTGATTTCCTTAATGTTCATGGCTGAAAAATGTGGAACCTCTTGCCAGACAGGCAGCCACAGTGCTGTGCCAGGAAAGGCTGTGGACTACACAGTGAGATCCAGCAGATACTGGTTGACTGGTCACTGGCTGGCTTTGCAGCTGTGTGTTGCATGAGGAGGTAATGTATACAAGATCTGGAAGAAGAGCATTACATTGCAGCTGGCAGCCCAAGAGAAGTTTATCTCAAAGAACTGAGTTGGCCTTCTGGCTCCTTTCTGCAGTTTATAGACTTCTCACTGAGAATAATTTTTGCCCAGAGAAGTTGTGGATTCCCTGTCCCTGGAGGTGTTCCAGGACAGGCTGGATGGGACTCTGAGCAACCTGGCCTAGTGGAAGGAGTCCTTGTCTATGGAAGGGGGGTTGAAACTGGATTCTTTAAGGTCCATTCCAACTCAAACCAGTCAAAGATTGAAATTCTATGGCTAAGGTGGGAGTAAGAGGGCTGTGTGGTGTCAGGGTGTATTCTCTCCGTTCCTGTACAGTGCACTCTGCCAGTCACTTATTTAAAAATATGCCTTGTCTAAAAACATTTCCATTATCCCCAAGTGACCAGTCCACATGAGTAACCCTCAGGGATTTTACTCAGAGCACAAGGCTTGACCCACCTGAAAGTGAGAGTCATCCAAGTGTCCCCATATGCAGGAAATCTCTTTTGTTCCTCTCTGGTAATCAAGCAGTTAAAGACACTAAAATCAGCTAAAAAAGAGGCTGGGCTGCTTGTTTGTGGACAACAGAAAGGAAGTAAACGGGCACAGCTAAAGGTGGTTTTTGCAGCTTATGCTGTTCAAAACCCTCAGCTGAAGTAGGAGCTGCCAGGGGCTGTGGTACAGAGCACGTTACTGCAGGATCAGATCCTCGTGGATCTGCTGTTACTGATGAGGGATGGCTGTTCGAGCACTCAGGCTGGGATGGATGCAGGGAAATGCACCTCTGTGCACGTAGGCAGCTCCAGGGGAGAGGAGATTCCTGGGTGAATCCTGGGTAAGAGGCAGTTTGACATTTGCAAGAGAGATCTGAGCTGTTTGCTCGTGTCTTTAAGCCCCATGTCTTTGTTTCCTGGTATCACACAAGATGCCAAAGAGTTACTTGAAAACAAGTTTAAAAGCAATCTGCATTATTGCCCGAGCACAACTTTAACCTCAGTACCAAGGCCTTGTGTGAATTTTCTTTGATGTTGGATTAGAGTTAATTGTAATCTGGCACTATCAGAAATTTTGAGAGTATTGATCAGATTGCATTGTTAGGAGAGGTAGGAGCTCTTACCTAATTTGTTGTCAACTCTGATTATTTGACAAAGCATCCTTGCTGCAAAACTTGTTAGTAGTCCTGGGGCTGATTGCTGCAGATTTTTTGGTTGCATTCATGTGACACTGAGAACTTGTTTTCGATTGATTTTACTCCACCGTATATCACACCACGGATTTGTGGTTGCTGGTTTTACTTTTTCAGCATTTAAAAGGCCAGTCAAACATTACTCAGGCTCTGTGGTGACACCCAGGATATTTTTTGCCCAGAGGCTGATGCATGTAGATATTCTTGTGTAATCACACAGGGCTGCTTCCACAACCTCAACAAGCTCCTGGGAGCTGGAGGATATGCATGGATTTGTTAAAAAGATCCAGAGCTCACAGAGGTGGGACTTGGTTGTGGGTCATCTTTTGGTAGCTGGCAGTAAGTGTTGGTCTTTTCATTGGTAATATACAGAAGATCTGTTTGAGTTAACCTTGTGTATTGCTGTGAGCTGTGCTCAGAGGGACCTCCAAGAGTTGACTTCTGTATAATTTAAACAGAGGAGTGATAGGGCTTTTAGTCTGGCATGAGTTATGGTTATTTTACTGTGCTGTAAGAGCACATGTTACTGTGCTAAGGGCAAATTACCCCAGACTTGTGCTTGAGCACCAGCATCGTGCTCCTGCTGAACAAGACACAGACACGGAACAGCTTCTCCCATTAAGAGCCCAGAGTCAGAAATAACAAGATCCTTTCCCCAAACAGCTTGGAAACTACTGGTGAGCCACTTATTCATGTTTCCCTCCCTGTCAGTGGGAACAAAACACAGCCTGGTGCCCAGTGAGCAGCTGGTATTTAACTGCAGGAGCCACGCTGAGGGCAGGCTGGGCTTAGCCAGCGGATAATGCGAGCTCTGTGAGGAGCAGCTCTCCTCCCAGAGGTGACAGCAACGACTGCCTCGTTGACCTTGACTCCTCCAGTGAGTTGCTGTGTGGTATAGCTTAAGGCTGTCCATTATTTTGGCTCTTGGCCATGCACATCTGTTGTGCCTGGGCTGGGCTGTCAGTGAGCCCTGCACGGGGGATGCTGGTGTGCCTCACCTTATTGCAGATGTGCCTTGGTGCTGATCATCTCCTAACAACCCCTTTAGACTCCAACAACCACTGCTCCTCTCCTGCAGTGTTGCTTCCAGGAGAGCTGGCTCCTGGGAGAGCAGTACCTGTGGTTCCTACCATATGGGCAGAGCTGGTGTGTGCTGGAAATCCCTGAGCAGCTTTAGCTCCTTCAGAAATGACAGCCAAGGCACTGCAAAAGCAGATTGCTGGGAAGGTGTTCCTAGCCTCAGTCTGAGATTTCATGTTTTTTTTAAATTGCACATATTTTCAGTCTGGGTTAAGAACTGACATAAGCTGGGCATGTGGTGGGAGAGGTTTCTCTCTCACGCCTTCCTTCTCTCTCGGGGTGCTGCCTTGAGACTGTCACTCCACCCCAGCTGCTCACTGGGGAGTTGCAGCCCCCATCCCTCCCTCTGCACAGTTGCTGCAGGGCGTGCAGGCTGAGCTGAGCTGAGCTGCTGATGTAATTTCCCATCTGCTTTTAAATTTCTGCCTTGTTAAAAAGCACAGTGGAGAGAGGGAGAGAAGACCCTTTGCAAATAGGAGTCATGGGAGTGCTCTTGCTCCCTTACTCTCCTCTTCAAGATTGGCAGGGTTTTAATGGCGATGATTTAATTTTGGTTTGCACTCTGCAGTGCCAGGTTTGTATTTCACCATCCCAACTGTTTTTCACTTCTCCTAAAAACAAAGATGACAAAGTAGAGGCAGAGACATGCTCACCTGCCCAGGACTAGTTATAACAAGCCAGGCAGGGGAGCTGCCATGACAATGGGATGCATTAGCCCCATAAAGAACTGAGATAAAAGAGCTCTTCATTATTCCCTTGCAGATTGAGTTAAAGCTCCCGACAGCATTCAGGCTCAGTGCCCTGAGTTACAGTGATTTAATTTTACACAAGTGTCTAATGTGATGCCCTTTTCACCAACACTTCTGAGCTGTGGTGTCATTGCAGTGCTTGGTGCTGTTCCAGGAGCTCACAGCTATGGATCCCCAGTGGTGTGTGCACATCTGGGTGTTCAGTGAGGTTTTGTAGGTGACTCAACACGAAGGGTTGGTCTGGATTCAGCAGTGTCTGCTGCATTATGCCAGCACTGCCAGGCCTGCCTTCTTGGCTTTTGTCCTGCTCGCTTGATGAGCTCTCAAAATGGTCTTTCCCTCAAGCTCTTGTCCTCTACACTTCTGCAAGGACTCCTGATCCTTAGTTCAGTTTTGCTGCTAGAGAAATATCTTTCATAAGCCTTTTTTAGATCTTGTCCCCTGAAGTTATTTTATGATACCAGGGCATTTTCCAGGGCACAGGAGCACCTTAGCCAACTCAATCACTGATACTTGAAAACACTATTTAAGTAATTCTGTATTTCCTACAGCTTCACCATGATTCCAAGTAAGACAGTATTTCCAGAACATGCTTCTTTTCACTGTGAGGTAGTGCTGGGAAGGAGCAGGGAATCTGAGGGAGGAAGAGAGGCAGGGCTCAGGTGGCAGGGAGAGCTGGAGGTCAGAATTCCAGCAGCTTTGGCAGAGCTGTGCAGGACTGGCTGTACTGCAGGACATGAACAGGTTGTCCACTGGCAGGACAGTGGGGTCACAGGATGGGGACAGCAGGTGTTACCGGTCAGGATTGAAATCCAGCAGCTCCATTTCCTCTACTCCCATTGCCTCCACCTGTTTTGTTTTTCATTATTCCTTTTTTTCTTTATTCTATTTTTTGGAAGAGGGCTATAATTCTTTTGGGGAAGGGCAGCTGTGTTAGCTCCGTTTCTAAATGGAGTTTAAAATATTAGAGGAAATCTGAAAAAAGGTGCCCAAGACAGGTGCAAAGCAGCTCCTTCCTGCTGACACATTTGCAGGGCTGCATCCTGTTTAAAGGCTGGCCTGAGGGTCTCCTTGGCAGGTGAACAGAGGACTTGGACTTGTAACCAGTGTGGGAACCCTTCATGATGTGCAAATCCTGCATTGTGCTCCTTGTATTTATAGCTTTCACTGAAGTCAACCACTCCTTTCAGCTGTACAACTGAAATGCCAGCAGAAGCTGAATAATTGCCACCAAATGACCAGATTTACAAAAAGTGACAACTGCTTGTTTATCAGGAGGAAGGGAGGGATGGTCACAGTGCCCTGTGCATGACAGCATGTTTACAAGAAGGCCTTGGTTAGTCCTCCCCATGACACTTAAATACATCTGTCTCTCCTGCTTTCAGGTGTACAGAAGGGGATTCTTTCTTTGTTTTACATTATTCAGGGCACTTCTGATCCTTAATAATGGGGGTGGGTTTGTAGTAGTCTTCCTATGGCACTGGATGTCATCTTCCCCCTCCAACACTAAAATATTGCAGCAGTAACTGTCCTCTGTCAGAGCTGCCTAGGCTGACCTGTGTGGGCTTTTTCATAGATTTTGGAAGGAATATTGTACAGATGGAAAGGTCCTCTAGACAAGGTTTGATCCCATTTAACATTTCTATTGAGCCACATCTCACAAAAAAGCTTGTGAATCAGTTAAATTTGAAAACTGGAGGTGGTAAGTTGCTTTAAAAAAGGGATGGGAGCAAAGGGTGTTGGATTTGAGCTAAGGAGGTAGGAACACGTGGTCAGTGGCACTTTTAGAAGTATTTTGTAAGTATTTTGTACCAGGATTAGCAGTGGCATTTGAAGAGCTGAGGGAGAGGCACACCCAGTCTCACAGGTAGGTGTTCTCTGATAACAGTTTTACCAGCTTGCTGGAATGGAGAAACACTCTACGCCTCCTGGTTCTAGAAAACTTGCTGACTGCAGGTCTGAGACTTACTGTAGGCACAGGAATTATTGCAGATTTATTGTCAAGATTGCACTGTTACACTCCTAAAAAGCAGACTGACTGTACTCTGGGTTTTTTTGGTGACTTTGGAATTAGCTGTAGAGAAATATTCTCAGAATTGCCACGGATTGTGTGAGGATTTGGGCTAAGCATCAGTAAATGAGACTTCTCAAGTTGCTGTTTGGAGACCTCACTGGTCCCAGAGTATTATCAGCTGTGTTTGTGGCCTGGGATGGAGTTTGTTGTGTGCTGGCTGCAGGATGGATATTTGGATTTGCAGAGTGGATGGATGGTGGCTGTGTGAGCTCCCTGGGAGCACAGCGTGGGTGCCCTTCTGAGAAAGAGCAGCTGCCTCTGACCAAAGCTGGGCCTTACAGAGCAGGGCAGTGAGTGTGACCTGTCCT